TGCACTTTGTCAAAAGTTATTTTGCAACATTTGCTATTATGCGCTCGATAACAATTTTATAACATTTTCTCCCGGCCCCGCTCATTCCGCCCTTGCCCCCAGCTCGTTTTTTGCGTTTCGCAATTTATTGTGTTACATATATTATTATTGTGTACTGAAAAATGCATTTTTCATGACATAGCAACGACCCGTTTGGCATTGGCAGCCCGAATTGGGTTGCCAGCCGCCCGTTCCCATGCCCCATTTCCCATTTCGCATTTCCTATACTCCCATATTCCATACTCCATCCTCCGTACTCCGTCCTCCCGACCACGGGCAAAGTTTTGGGTAGAAAAATGGCTCTTGGCCGGGGTTCTGGGCTCGGGATTCTGGGTTCGGGACTCTGGGCAGCACCACCTCCAGGTCCTCCCGCTCCACGGCGTGCGTATAAATTGTTTGCGACAGTAATTGGAACACAATGTTAAAGCATGAAATTTTAATTTGATTTCCGATCGAGCCCTCCGAGTTTATTCAGGCTTGCCCGCAGATGAAAAGCTGCCCCACATTTAAGTTTTCGGAGAGTCGTTAAGGGAAGTTGATACTATTGAACGCATAAATACGAGGCGAGATATTCGGATATCAAGGGGTTTATCGGCTGCCCCAACTATTTGTTGCAGGTTTATAACAAGTTTGTTGGAATTTTTTATGGCTCAATTATTTATTGAGAGCTTATCTTGCTTATACTCGTATAATTATATAAAAGTGTTATTTTAAGGCTTAAACCCTTTAAAGGATTTCAAATTAATAATAATGTTAAAATTAAGTTTAACAACATTCGAATATGCAAAATAAATTCTGTCATTTACTTTTACCAATTTAAAATTCTCGACTTACAATTTAAGCAAAGAAATATGTTCCGTAAATTCTTGGGCTACAAGAGTTAAATGCAACATTTTTCTGTAAATATTTATCGAGAATTTGCAGAAGATGCACTTTAAACGGTTTAAACTTGAATACCGTCTCGGTAATTCGTCGATTCCCTTTGAACTTTCACATTTCCCTCGTATTTTATTTCCTGGGAAACTTGTCTGCAACTAGTTGTTGACTTCAATTTACCCGCTTGATTGTTTTTTGACGCTTCTTTGGCTTCCGTCTGCGGCCTCGGCCATATGCCATCACCCGAATGGGGCTTCCATGCCACTCCGCCGTAATCGAATGGCATTTTTCGAGACTGGTCTCCAGTGCCCAGGTAACCCACATGGCAACACGCCAGCTGCCTGCTGCCATGGCCATTGTCTTGAGCTGGCCTGTCTGCCCTGTTTTGACTTGGCATTCATCTGCCTTTGTTACGGCCCAATCGGAAGTGAAATTAAAGAGGGTCCCAGTTTGTGTACGTTTCTACGCCTTAATCCCATTAATTACAAATCCCTCTTCAAGAGGAGGCAGCCTTTAAGCCGCTTGGCATTATCAATCAATTGCAGGACTATCTTATCGACCTCACATGTGGAATGTTCTAAAATTCGATTAAAATTCAGGAAACCTATAAAAGCCAACGAAACAGCAACAACGAAACTCGCATCATTAATTTTTGCAGAGGGAATTTATCGGCTAGGATTATGAATGTTGAAAAACAGACAGAGGAGGGAAAGGGGAGGGACGGGAAAACCCATTTCTAACTTTCTTTTCCTTTTTGAGAGGGGCTCGTTTTTCGCCTACCAATCATTATTCAATATGTTGACTTTTGTGCTTTCCACATTTGTTTCGCTCCAAGCCACATAAGTCATGTTGTCGGTGGAAAGGCGGAAAATGGGGAAAACGGGGAAAATGGGGAAGGGCATGCAAAAGACAAAGAAAAATTTTGTACAAGTGGTTCGAAGGGGCGCAGCGCGTCGATGTGGAAATTGTGATAGTGAAAGGAGGATGGGGCAGTCCTCCCCTTTCGCCCGAACAATGAACTGTGCGGCAACACTGTCGAAGTTGTTTAACTTTGCATTTGTCCGGGCTGTCCTGGCTGCTGCTCCTTTTCGTCCTTCGTCCTTCGTCCTTCGACCCCCCGCTTCCCACTCCCAACACCCCGAGCAGCAGCTTAGTGTAGCCTTTGATTAAGGCCACCTACAAGTGTCAGCTGGGCGAGTGAAAAGGATCCAGGTGTCGATTCTCAGGTGGGAAATCACAGAGCTTTAACTGGCAATTTAAAGTTTGTTGGCCGAGGCCTTTAAAGGTTTTTTCAACGGCTCAAATATAAATCACGTAAATCGGAATAATCTGCAATAATGGAATGCATTAGATTCACTTTGTGTTTGTCCAGCGCAAATGCAATTAAAAGTTTCGAAATTAAAAGCAAATACAAGGACCGAAAAATTTAATTACGCGTATTAATTCAGCCGTGGCGGAATGAAAAATTAAGACTATTCTCCCGCCGCTCCGTATATCCCTGTTTATTTTCAGCTCTTCCCACTGGCAATTCATCTGCCATCAATAAAGCCACCGCAGATGGATGGCGGTGCCGCAGTTTTATTGTTTTTCACCCCGTCAATTATTGGGAAACTTGTCAATGGAATGATTTTTCAAGGCGCGCTCGGAAATAAAAATTGAAGCTGCAAATGAACTTGCCATCGAATGGAGCGGGTTCGGTTTTGTAAATTTAATTTGCGTTTGCCCCACTGGTTTGGCCCGGCACTCGCCTCTATTGCCTGATGTTTTGCGGCTAACCAAAAATGTTCGTCTGCAACACATTTGCAGTTCTGCATCCACAGCTCGACGAAATGATTTCGTCCGAATTTCCCCGTAGTCCCTCCGTCCACCAATTTCCCGGGATCGTTTGCATTGTTGCGGTAAATTGGTAAAATTTACATACCATTGGCTTTTATTGTTTATGTATCGCTGCCATCATCATGAGCTTGCTGATGATGACTTTAAAATTGCGGCGGTTGAAATGTCGGTTGCCGAGACATCCTTACTTTCAGTTTTGCTTTCGTTTTAATTGGTTTGCTCAGCCCTCAAAATAACACCAATAATTGGCATTTTCTAATTATTCCACAGTTTATCTGTGCTTTTGCACTGCTCGATTATTGATTTGTTCAGTGAGCTGAAAGTAAGTCAATGCATTGCTCATTCACTGGGGCAGAAAAGTGTTATACAAAGTAAAGAAAGTTCTGACAGTTTTTTCATTACTATTGGCTTTACGATTAGTCTTATGCTCGATTACCGACCAAGTTTTAATCAGTTAACTGTAGCCATTTATTATTACTTTCTCGTGATTATGTTAAAGAAAGGTTATGCGAATAACAATTAAACTTTGGTAAAAAATGGTCGTACTCCGTAATCTATACCAACTTTTCAAGCCATCAAGCCGATTGGAATTAAAAATGTGCAATACAATATTCGAAGGATACGATTCTTATATATGTATACTACACTTGTATACTACACTTGAGAGTTTCAAATTTTCTTGGTTTTTAAAGATTTACTTTCGTTTTCTCTCCCCATCGCGGGCCATTTTTAAGGCCATAAACCAAGGGCCACTCCACATTTTGACCATAAATAAAAGAGCGCACCGGCATTTAAGTATTTCGCTGGGGAAACGTGCGGGAAATGTGGAGAACTAGTGGCTGCTCCCTCTCGACAGCACCTGCCCTTAATGGATTTGCCACCATATGCCTGATTTATGCGACAAAGAAAAGTCGAGGGACTTGCAATGCATCTGCCATTGTCCGATAAGTTGGCCCCCAGCCGCCTTTGGCCAACCTTGAAGCTCCTGTTAACATACAATGGTCGTGTAATAGTTTGTCACTGGGTTTCGTTGTTGGCCTGGCATAATGACAGCTGTGCGACATGTCATGGGATATCATGGGATATCAGGACACCAGGACACCAGGACACGAGGGGTACGGGGCAGTGGGTGGCCGTATGCAGAGTCACATATTGATGATGTGCGTCAAATGTCGCTGCTGTTGCTGTCAATTTTGTGGGCCACAATGGCGGGGCTCCCTTTTTCCACTCCGCTTGTTTGTCAGTGTTTTCCCCATGGCAGCGGTTGCTTCATTTATGTTGCTCAGGGGTCAACTGTTGTTGTCGCTGCTCTTATTGCTGATTTTACTGGCCATGTTGCCGCTGTTGCTGCTTTTGTTGCAGCTATGCAGCAGCTGATGCCGCTGCTGCTGCTGCTGCTGCAGCTTGTTTGACAAATTGATCGCGTGATATGTTTGCCCAATGCTGTCATTGTTGTGCCGAAGTGGCCGCATAGTTGTTGCACCCACTGTTTGCTGCCGCACAAGCGTACTCGGAGCTGCATTAGTTTACACTACACTGTACACAGTGGTCTCCCCTGTGCATTTTGTACTCGAAATTGCTTTCGATGTAAATCGAAACCTTTGTGTCCGGCAAATACCAAAGCCGAGACACAACTACTCCAAATTGGTAAGCCCTTGTTGGACAACTTTGTAACGGACTTTAGATTGGGCTCAGATTCTCCAGTCCCCGGCTCTGCGCTTCTCCATCCCATTGCCGGATTCACATATGCATAACCGAGGCCGGCTCGTCACTCGTCAGTTATGAACGGGGGGTCCTGGGAGTCCTGGGCGTCCTGGCAACGTCAATTCGTTAACAGCTCCGTCAGCTTTGCTGCTAATTTTGTTTGCCTTGTGTCGCTACCCAAACCCGGGCACCCAGTCGCAGTCACAGTGCTGGTGGAAAGTATGCGCACGCTTTGTGGAGTCCGAGTGGCACAGCACCCAGCCCACACCCCTCACTCGCTGTCGTCTCTTTGTTTGCTCTGCACTCCAAACACTGCAGACAAAATGCTGTCGAAAATGTTGCGCCCGATGTCTCTATTCTGTGTCCTCCATCCAGTTAATCCGCCTAACGTTATGCAACAAAGTTTTTGTGGAAAATTAATTAATTTCATGTGCAAACAGTTGTTAGATTTTTCCCTCCCCTGTTTCACCTTTCCCTGCCCTGCTGTTTAATTGGCTTAAAACATTTTTGCTGCTTTTCGTTCTAATTAAATCTCCGTTTTGCAGATTCCTCTACAAATAGTACACATGTGCCAACCTGAAAGCTGAGCGGTTTCGGACGGGAATACGTCGCATAGGAAAATCCATACCAACGAACCCTGGACAAGTGATGAAGTCATGAGACCGACATTCGATCGACGCCTCTGGATATTATTGTTCATTATTTCAGTACAATGTAAGTAGCCAACAGCCGAAAAAACCAAGGCAAATCCCTCCTCACATATGTTTTTTATGCCCTGCAAGAGTGAGTGTGTGTGTGTGCGGGATGTGGAAATGAATGGGCCAAGTGGCCTCAGCAGGCCAAGGAGCTCGTATATTGCCGGGCCAGAGAGAATGGACCACTTTGTATGCCGGCAACGTGTGAAAAATAGTTCACAGATAATCGCAGTCAGGCAGGTCACATTATTTATGCGCCAGCACACCAGCACACCAGCTCAGCCTCGTCCACATCCTCATCCTTGCCACATCCTCGTCCGCATCCTTGGGATCCGCTTCTCATCCCCTTATCAGCTTGATATTCTATGCCACATGCAGCAAACAAAGCCATTTCTTTTATTTGATGTGCGATTTTGGGAGCTAAAATGGAGAAACGAAGCCGAAGAAAGCTGACCCTTGGCGTTTTCTGGTTTCTGGCATCATACAGGCCAGCAAAAACAGGTCCTGCATATCAATGGCAACGGTCTGTAAATAAGCGAAGTTCATCCCCCTCTCTCGAGGAATTCCCCTCTGATGCAATGAGTAATACGCCATTGTCAATGTCTATTAGGTCCATGCGGCGTATGAGTAATATGCGATAATGTGATTTATTTTCAGAGGCTCTTACTTATTTTCGGCCCGACAGTATTCTGTTTCATTCCCAAAATCACGCGTTTCCTCTCCTATAATGCGCCATATGTGGCTGTCAATACTACTGGCAATACTATCAGTTAGGAAACAATATGGGGGCTTGTACTGACTAAAACTAGTAAAAGTAGATAAATACATGTATAATAATTTTAAATTTTGTTTAATTTCTGAGATTGTTAGGATTACTTTACTTAAATGACAATCAATTATAACTTAATAATAATAAAGTTCAATTTAATGAGATTATACTGAGAGAAGAAACATGATGCTGTGGAGCGTTATCAAATAACTTCAGCCATGTGATCGGAATTACGTTTCGCAAGCGACCTTTAGAACTCTAATCAAATCGGGAGAATATCTTGCTTAAATCCCAAACAAGCTGTCGCATTAGGTACCAATTCTATGGAGTATTCCCAACCGCTCACAACTTCATTCACCGTGGGGTCACTTCAAGGTTGCAATCAGCACTGCAAACAGAGAGGAGAACCCGAACTGAAGTGGAAATTCAAGCACTCCCCCGCTGGAAATGTGAAGAAAATGCCCGGCATTTTCCCCGACAGTTCGCACACAGCGAGCGGAAACGGAAATGCGCGTTCAAGAATTTTAATCTGCATGCGCAATTTCGCGTGTGAGCTGTATGCCAAAAATGGCGCGCACATGTCGGCCAACTGGCGACTGGGCCAGCACCACCCCAGCACCCCACCACCCCGCCACCACGATCCACTTCCACCACATGCCCCACTGTGGTGCGCCTTGGAATTTCACGCGTTTATTTGCAAAGATTACGAAATGCGACCGGTTGCCGCTAAAGTTTTGTATGCGCTTCCTGCTGCCGGCGCTGCCTTTTCCTTCTTGTCTGGCTGTGTGCGTGGCTTTCCTTCCCGGCTTTCCCCGTCCGCAGCCTTCTGGCCATTTTTTGCCCTGTTTGCTTGTCCGTCCGTCCGCTTCGCTGACTTGTTATGCATGCAAAAGTCTGTGGCAAATACACAGACCCTGGCCACCACCACCCACCGCAGCCCAACGCAGCCCAACCGCCGGCAGTCCTCGGCAGATGGGAGTGACATGCAAAATATTTTTGCATAAAAATGTTTGCCCAGCAACACGGATCGGAGTCCTTGCCGCATCCTGGCAGCTGCATCTTACCCTTGCTTTGATGTGTGCCGGGGAGAAATGTTAAATTTTAAAGCATTTCAATTTCGCATTTTTGACACACGCAAGTTGAGCATGTAATTTTGCGAGATATAGTACACTCGCCTCCGGTTTTGGCATTTTACCTTGGATGCCCATGCCTTGAACGCCCTCCCCGGGGACTTAATGTCCGGCATTCTATCTGATGTATTTAAGCGTACTGCGTTTGCTACGTGCTGGCCATGCTAAGAGGGCCCTCGACTCCTTTTTCCTCTGCAAACACGAGGCGACAGCAGCGACGGAGCATATTTCATATTTAATAAAGTGGGTCGCATTTTATTGAGGGGGCGCTGATAAAATCAGATGATGATCTGCCACATTCCGTGGATTATTGACCTGTTTCATCAGCTCTTGTAGGTTATTATTTGTGTCCCATGTTGTTTCATGGAATTTTTTATCGCAATATTAAGTCGGGTGCTCGGGAGCAGATTGTGCTATGCAGGCGCTTAAATTTTTACCATCAGGAGCATTTCTGTAAACCAAATACCATCATTAAATGAAATCTGCTGGCCACACTACATTGTTTCTAGAGGGGATAAACTGCAACATCAACCACAAAATTAAAGTGAATTTTTAGTTCCATTTTTGTTAAAGTTTTGGAGTACATCGAAGCGCGGCTCTCGGCTCAATGAAATTAGGGACAAAAGGAATATATTAGTATGATTAACAAGCTTCTCCCTTATTAAATATACTCCATAAAGTAGCCCAAATTTAGTGAGAACTTATCCCTGGCCCCAATTGTTTTTCCTAGCTGCTTAAATTCGTGGAGCCGCCGGTTTTCCAAGAGCACCGACCGCAAGCAATATTTCTTGGCCCACAAAAACGGGCAAGACAAGAGGGGCTCTCGAAACTGCGGCCCTGATGATGTCGATGGGTGTGGTGCGGGAAGCTGCCAAGTCGGCGACTTAGTTAGCCACTTTTCTTTCATAGAAAATGCGCCTTTTGTGCCTCAAGTGGGCACCCCAGCCCAGCCCACGACTTTTGTCTACTCGCTAACCAACTCCAGCGATGCCGCCCTGCCGATCCCCTGGCGATCCGATGGAAAGAAAAATAGAGCTGGCGCAAGTTTATTTTAAAACTCGACTTTTGTACGCTCAAGTTTACTTTTGTGGCGAATTACTTTTCGGTTATTTTTGTGGCCCAGTCATCGCCTGTTCTCCCCGGCCGGCGAGTATCTCTTAGCTGATTGTCTTGTTGCTCGGGTGTCGATGCACAAGCTGCAGTGGTTCAGTGGGTGGCTGTGGTTTTGGATGGCCTTGGTGGTGGGTGGGTGGGGGCTATTGTGTGCGCCAGTTGAAGTCAGCAGAAGACTGCCTGCGCAGAATGCAATTATTAAAAGTTTTTCAAGTTGTCCGCTCCTCATACATTTATTCCTCCTTTTCGCCGCCGCTTTTGTCGAGCTCTGAAATTATAGCCGGCGCCATTTTGCTGTCCACAGTTCTCGTCTTAACCTTCTACGCTGTCATTTTTTGCTGTTTAACATGGCATAGCAAATGTAGTCCATTGAAAAGTTTCGCGTAAAGTTTGCTTCGAAGTTTTCGTTAAAGACGTGAGTGGAAAAATGTTGCGAGCGGCTCTTAAAGCCCTGTTGTTTTAGCCGGAAATGGGCACGGATCGCGGAACGAGAGGCCAAAAATGCCAGCGAAGCGGAAACACAGCTAACAATAAGAGCCGCAAAGGGCAGAAAACGCGAACTTCCGTTTAAAATTTCCTAACATTTCAAGCTCACCCCTTGACCCCGGGGGTATGCCCCCCGAAAACCCCCAAAATACACCACCGTGTGGTCAACACGTAACAGACGCTCCTGGGCTTCCTCTTCCTGTCCAGACCAACCGACCAAAATTGGCCGCACACTAAATTGCACACCTGAGAATTAATGCGCCGGCCACTCGAAAGGCGTTTTCCGAAGCCCGAGCGGCGGGAAAATGGTAGATGGTGAATGGTGAATGGTAAATGGTAAATGGAAAGTGGAAAATGGGAGCAGCAGCCGGCCAACAAAAGGTGTGAAGGCCGAAAGCGATGCAACCTGCAGTCGCAGACAAATGCAAAGTCAAATGCTCTTTGCAGACAGACGGGAAGCCCGTCTAAAGTTGTTGCCGGTTGTTGGCAAACGCCTGCGGGCCTTGTCTTCTTTTGGCCAAAATCGGTCAGTGGGAGCACAAAGTTTGGGTACCACTCAGGGTAGGTTAGAAACTGAGCTTGAAGAGTACACCAATTGAAGAGTACACCCATTGAAGTACACAGAACAATGTAATATTTTGTTGGAGGTCATATTACGGGTAAAAGTCTCGCCCTCTTATTAATGAAAAGTAGAATAAAATATAAAAATATCAATTCGACACGCACCATATAAATAAAGACTGAACAAACCAATTAACGCAGAGCCCAAATGGAAGGGCCAATATTTCCGTGAAGTTATCATCCCAACGTATCTCACAGAAATGAAATATATATCATCGGCCGTAAGCCCTGGATGTGGGCAGACTTTATTGACCAACTGTATAATGTGCAATTCCCTCTGCTTTTCGACTTCTTTCCTTTTCCGAGGCTCAGACAAAGTTGCCGTCCCATCCGCTCGGCTTTTCCTTCGCTCGCCCTTTGCTGGTAAAAGCAAGTGAAAATAAATTAAGTGGAAGTAAGTCGTAACGAAGTGATACATAATTCTTTGTACTTTTCTTTTTTTGGCTGGTCGAGGTCCTCCGACCCTGGCTCCCTTTTGGCGCCGTTTTCTTTGTGTGCTTTAACAATTGAGTGCAAGTTTGGCGAACGAAGCCAAATCGAAGCGCTTTAAGCCGGGTATTTTCCAAGGTCCACAGCTTCAACGATGTTAATTAGCAGCACTATTAGCTGTAGTGAAATTCCTAAAGAGCGCAGCAAGTCGGGGAAAGTCGGTCGAGTTTTCCCCTGCCGAGATGTAACCTAATATACCGTAATTCGGCTTTAATGACCCAGCCGAGAAGCCCGAAGAGGTCTTCACTTGGCGTCTAAATAGCCCAAATAACTTAATATCAACCTGAAACGCTGTGATTGAGAGGTGGCGCCCAGCGAATTTCGGGCTACCTTTTCCACCTTATTGCTACTTAACTAAGCCAACGATATCATTTTATTACATGGCTTTTGGCCAGGACTGCCGACTTGCCGAGCCGGCGCTTTCACTTTTCCCGGAGCGTGGCTTCAGCAGGACAGCCTCTCACCTTTCCGGCGCCCGATCCCAGCCCCCCTCCCGGAGGCCATTAACGTGTTTCGTTTCATTTAACTTTTACGCTCTGCCACCCCCCGGAGTCCCCGCCCAGAAGTCCTGCTATTTAGCACAGGTCCAGGGCTTCCCGAGCGCCCCGACCTCCGAGTTTTCGTCCCGGGAAACGAAACTTTTACCTGCTATCCGCTTGACCCACCGAGACCACCCAGCTGTGGGTGTGGGAGTGTAGCGTTAGATGTGACCTTCGGCGCTGACAGCAGCCGTCATTAACCTTTCATGACGAGGGAGCCTTAGCAGGAGCAGGAGCGGGCGCAGGAGCTGGAGAGCCCGGAGAACAATCAAGCGGAACAGGTGGAACCCCCACGGAAGTTGACAACAACGGGAGCGGCAAAATCGGAGGCAACAACCAAAGTGAAACCGAAACTTTGTCGAGTGTTTTCGAGACAATGTTTTGTGCTATGGAGTGTTTGATGTTGTATGTCCCATGTAGTCCCGTTGAACTTTGACTGTTGCGGGCTGTGTTTTTGGGTCACCTTGCAGCGAAGTAATTTAGCTTTAATGCGTCTGGCGATGTGACAGTTTCTCCCCGGGTCCTGACCCACTTTTGCCTGGCACTTTTGTTTTACTAACCGCATGCCACGCCCACGCCGCCGCAGCTGCATATAATTTGGCAACCGCAGTTTCTGGTGCCTGCTTTGCATTTGGCATTTGGTGGGTGAAATGTGTGTGCCAAACGAATTTGGGTTGTCGCAAATAGCCAAATTGGGGACACGGAAAAGTGCAGTCCAGTAGCCAGGCCAAAGCAAATAGATGGACTCAAATATGGTGCATGTAAGCTCCAAGGTCGCAAATGCATTTATAGCAGATATGGCAGAAGGGCTAAATATGCTGCAGGCATTAAAAGGCATCCGGCTACACTGAAGGAAAATGGCTGCCAGGGGTAGGAAGGTAGTATATTTATCTAAAAATGGGAAATACAATCACAATGATCTTTGCTCTATAACTCCTAGGTCAAATAAGTATTTCCACATTTTCTGAAAAATAATGCATCTACTTCTAAAGCGGTTCAATTAGCATAATGGATTTTGCTGCCAGCAAAAAGAAGCTCAGAACATAGTTATCCCTTACCCTCACCTAAACTCGCAGTGCAATGCCCTGGCAACCCCAAGGCCGCACGGACTGCTCTCAGCACGGCACTCGGATGCATTCCTTACGGAAAATCAATAACCATTGCATAGTGCCACGTGTGAAAGGACCCCAACCCAGAACGCCTTTCAGTCGGGCTGGGACAACTGTCGCTACATAATCATAATCGCAACCATGATGAAGCAGCGTCGGTGACGACAACTACGACAATGTCGACTGACTGCCCCGAGTGTTTTATCCTTGACAAATCCCTGTGCAACAATCAGCAGCAACAGCAACACACCAGCGCCGCAAAAAGAACCTTGTGGAAATGTTACAAGCGCAGTGGAGGTGGGGAGCACAAAAGTTGACAATGGCAAATGCGCAGCAAAACGTCTAAATGAGGCCGAGGCTGGGAGGAGACCCGACTCGCCGTCTGAACGAGTAAACTCCACTCGTTAAGCTCCCAGCTCCCATTTCGCCACCTTGCATCCTCACCACCTTGCCGGCTGGTAGCCGCAAATCGGGGCTTGAAGACGATCTTCCCAACCCTAGCCACCAGGGCCTTGGCATGATGGATGACAATAAACAAGACAAGCGGGCACGATTGTTTGCCGGCCTCCCCAGCCCACCCTTCATCATCATTGTCCCTCACCAAGTCTGTACTTAGCGGGTCTGTTGGCATTTCCCCGACCAAACAATAGTGGTTTATCCGGCTGGCGATGAAGCCAGTCTGAAATGGCTTTAATGCTTTAGTGTTGAGTCCATCTCAAACCAGAAAGACTAACATTAATCAGTCAACACGGTTCTTTGTAGAGCTACTGATCTAGATTTGGAAGCAACAGGCCTTGGATCATCGTCTCGCTTTAAGTTTTGTCGGATTGTAGTATTACATTTTATTAATGATAGACAATTTAGTAATAAAAGATAATACTGCCATCAACTCATCTTTATCCTGTGACTCCATCTCCCACGTCTCCGTAAGCTTTGTTTTCGGACTGTTTTCCGGAGGTCTCCAACTATTTGTCTTTTTTGTCCTTACATTCCACTTCCTTTACCTTTTTTGAGATCTCATTACATTTTTTTTTGAACTCAGCTAGTTCTCAATCTTTCTTTTTCTCGGCTTCTTCAGATTGTTTCTTTTTCTCGGCCTCACATTTCTTTTTCTGCTTGGCTTCCTCGCATTTCTTTTTAAGCGCGGCTTCTTCACTTTTTTTCTTTGTCTCGGCTTCCTCACTTTTTTTCCTTTTTTCTTGCTCACATTTTTTTAAAGCTGCAGCCTCTGGAGAATTCTTCTTAGGATCACCCTTTTCGCACTTTTTCTTGTTTTCTTCTTCCTCACATTTCTTTTTAGCCGCTGCTTCCTCACACTTTTTCTTTGCTGCTTCTTCCTCACACTTTTTCTTTGCTGCTGCTTCTTCACACTTCTTCTTGGCTGCTTCTTCTTCACATTTCTTCTTGGCCGCTGCTTCATCGGATTTTTTCTTACGCTCGGCTTCATCGCATTTCTTTTCAGCTGCAGCTTCTTCACATTTCTTTTTTGCCGCCGCCTCATCGCATTTGTTCTTTGACGCAGCATCTTTACATTTATTCTTTGCCGCATCTTTTGTGCATTTGCTTTTTGGCGCCGCTTCCTTACATTTCTTCTTAGCTGCTGCTTCCTCGCATTTCTTCTTAGCTGCTGCTTCTTCGCATTTCTTTTTTGCCGCGGCTTCTTCGCATTTCTTTTTTGCTGCAGCCTCTTCGCATTTCTTCCTTGCCGCTGCTTCCTCGCACTTTTTCTTCGCCGCTGCTTCCTCGCATTTCTTTTTACGCTCGGCTTCCTCGCATTTTTTTTTCGCCGCTAGTTCTTCACAATTTTTCTTAATCGCAGCTTCTTCACATTTTTTACTAAGCTCGGCTTCTTCCTTTTTTTTACGCTCGGCCTCTTCACGCTGCTTTTGGCACTTGGCTTTTATTTCCTGGAGAACGCGCTTTAGTTCGTTTTCTTCTTTGGCCTTTTTCTTGTCAGCCTTATTCAACGAGCTATATTCGTCTTCCTCGTTAGGTTTACTACAGTCTAGTGGCTTACCCTCTTTTTTCTCCTTTTCCCTCCTCGCAGTTTCTTCGGCAGCAATCTCCTCGGCGTACTTTTTCTGACATACCATTTTCTGGGCGTGAACTGCACAGGCTTTCTTTATTCCAGATAACATGCACTTTACGAGGGAATCTACGGTTTTAGAATCTCCCTGAGGCTTTGAGGTTCTCAGTTCCTCGCAGAGTGCCTTGTACTGCTTTCGCTCACAGTCTTTCTTCTCGGCAGCTAGCATGCAACTGTGCTTTAACTCATCAACGGCTTCGTCTAGACTTTTCACATCAGATTCCGTTTCCACAGGGTCTTTGGCTTCAGACAACTTATTCTTCTGTTCTAGTAAATGCTTTCGCTTCCTGGATATCCTTGAACATTTCGGGGGTTCTGGTTTTGGTAAGGGCTCTAAAGCGCAGTTCTCATCTTCCATCTTTTTGCAATAGCACTCTTCCTCATCGACCTTTTTGGAAAACGATCGTTGATGGCTGAGATGCAAGGGATCCGAAGGTGTGCCCGGGGCAGGAACATTCAGTTGCGAAAGGTACAGAAGACAGCCATTGACTTTGTCCCAGGACAAAGAGATCTTGACTCTACGCCTTCCCCTTATAAATACTGCTTTTGAGTAAGATGCATCCTCAGTTCCTGACAGGACTTTTTTTCTCTGATGCATCCTATGCTGGGCATTAGTTTGTTGGGATGTATCCACTTCCGCCGACCGATCACCTGCTTTGAAGATGTTACATGTCTTACTACTGCAATTTAATTTTAGTGGCTTATTTCTCGAATCAAAACCATCGTGTTCTTTGTTGCTGAATACTCGTGGCTGTCCTAGGTAAACGGATACGGAATGCAAATTAGTGTGGGACTTCAAAAACAATCGGTTCCATCGGGGGTGCTTTAGCTGGTAAACGAGAGATCGTGAGAGATGACGCCCCATCGTCGCCATACCCTAAGACCAAATATTAAGAATTTAAAACGAACAATTTCGAAGACTTTAGGCTAAGGAGTTGGGTCCAAACTGAAAAGAGGAGGGTTTTTACATATTTACCGGAGACTACTTGAGTGATTTTTGAAGGAGCTTACTTACAGCAAGGTTAATTAAAGCCGTTGCTCAATAGTTGAAACCAGGGGAGCCCATGCATTGTGTTAATATCAGTGCGTTGTAACCCTTAAGCGGACCCAAGTTTCCTGGCCCACTTTCTCGCGAAAGTAGGCTGCGATTTTGATTCTCTCGGGGTGCTTCCCACCTGCCTGCTGGCCGACATAATAAAGCAATTAAAGTTTTACACTCCGCAGACCCATTTCACATGTTTGCCGCTCACATCAACAATGAAATGAGCATTTCCCCCGTACACATGTGCGCAATTAAAATGTAAACGTGTCAAACACATGGCAGACTGCTCGGGCAGAGCTTTCGCTTAAAAATTAACAGCGACAGTGCCGAACAAGTTGCAGAAATTAATGACAACATAAAGGAATTTAAATACGCAATGAGCCCGGTGGGCGGTCGGGCTGGGAGCACTCGTAATTGCGGTGCAAGTTCGCAGTGGCAGTGTGTGCGGCGGAAAGTTAAAGCACACTTATGTGCGACAGTGTTGCCAAGGCGGGCGACTCAAACTCACCTGTCTGCTGTTGTCTGCTTGGCGGCGCATGAAGTGAAAATTAATTTCTAAATGCGGGAAATTAACAAATTACAAACAACGCAATGAGGGGTGGCGTGATGGGCTGGCAGGCGGCGGAAGTAGACATGCCATAACTCACCGCACAGCCCCCCCACCCACATGGGGGCTTCGGAAGAGATGCAAAGTTCGCGGAGCAACTTCCTTATAGAGGGGGTCTGCGAGGCGGCGGCTCCTGCAAGGTGTTGAAGCACAGGTGAGGCACATTGTCTTGCCCTCGCCTGGGGCCCCGCCCACACCTCAACCACCCCGCATACTTCTGGCCGCACTCAACTCACAAACGCTGACAGGTGACAGGTTTGCTAATTTGAAGCAGTCCCCGAAAATGAAGTTAGCGTCTGTCAGCGTCTTCCCGGCATGATAACGGCCTTCCCAGCCCCAAAGGCCCTCCCCCAACAACCCCTTCGAATTCACACCTTTGGCAGCCACAGACGCGCTGCGGTCGCGCTTTTAACATTTAATTAAGTTGTGCTCGATTTTATGTTCGACAAAAGTGTTTGTCTGCCGCTGGCTCTCTCGAAGGGATGTGTGTGACTATGTCGTGGTTGCGGCTCCGCTGCGTTGTTGTCATTTCTGAGGTTTGTGCAAAGATTGGAAAACTGTTGATGGCGCAAGGCGAGCTGTTTAATTCCACCCCTTCTACCTTCCTGAGTGGTACCCTCGCTGCAGTACCACTCAGGAACCGAAACCACGCAAGTTTACATTTAGTAACTAACTGCTGTAAGTATTCAATCAATGCTTTAAGTGCACTCAGAAAAAAAATCAAGTATTTCGTGCTTGAACCTAGTATTTTCGGTGTCAAAACTTCGCCAAGCATGGAAAATACAGAACCAAAGAACAAAATACTTCTTTCAAGCACGAATTTTCAAGTCCGCAAATTCTTGGTTTCAGTACGACTTAAGAATGCTGAGGATTAATATCAAGTATGGAGCTTTCTCAAAACAATAATAAAGTATTCTTAAGTCTAGACATATAGATACTTGAATTAAGTGCGATTTATATATAAATTAAGAAAATTTTAGGCTTGATTTAAGCACAAACAATTACTAAACCCAGTAAATTATACTCTTGAAGCTAGAGTAAAAATACTAAGTTCAAGAATATTTCATTTTTAAATTAAGACAATATACATTTTAAGTTAAGCAGGAATGATTATTATATTAAGATCACATCATGCCAGACCTAAGAACTGTTAGTTCTTAATACCGGATCCCCCATTCTTAAAACAAGGTATGGAAAAGCTCAATTTCAGAAACTTTTATACGCTTAGGAAGTTATTGTTTTGGTTTACATTTTATTGTACATGTTTATTTTACAGTTGTTACATACGCTTAGGAAGCTATTGTTTTGATATTCATTTTATTTTACATATTTATTTTACATTTTCTATATACGCTTAAGAAGCTATTGTTTTGGCTTAAATTGTATTTCACATGTTTATAGTTTCTATATATACTTAAATTTAAGATACGATTTTCTATTGTTTATTGTATATAAGTGCAAAGGAAGAGTAGTTATTTCATTAATGTTTAAAATGCAAAATGTGTCGGATGGATAACCGATTTCATAAGAATGAAAATGTTTGTCAAATCAAATTAAATCTACTTCATTACATAGTACAAAAATATTGTCCTTATAACTAAAACAACTTATAATCTTTTATATATGTACATGTGGGCCACTTACTAGATTTTCATCAAAATATAAAAAATATTCGTTGATCTCACAATCGAAAGGACAAACTACAATAATAATAGGTTGTAATTTAAGACCCGAACTGTAATTCTTGTTTATGACTCGGTCCAATTGAATATCTAAGTCATTAATAGTTACTAGTCTCAGCACAAAACTCTCCTACGCGTCCAGTATTGTAGCCTTCCTTGTACATTTTCCATCTTCATTCTTAAAGCGGGCTGACGAGGGCAAAACAGCATTCAGCAATGTGGCGGTTATGAAGTCCTGGGCATCTGTTATATTAGAATAGTTTATTATTATATATTTACAATACAAATAAAAGGTATAGTATTCGCTTTGTCAAAAAAGCGGGTATAAATATGATTAGTATTAGTATAAAAACAGTGAATCACAAAATAAATACAAACTTTTCTACGCTTAGGTATTAAATAACAAGTTCTACAGACCTCTTCTTCTTTTTCATTATGCGGCTGTGGCGGTTTTTATATTATGACAAATTTAAAATACTTTAAACCGTATTCATGTACTATTTTGCTAATAACGTACCTCAGACTCCTTCCATCTGAAGAGTTTTTGTCTAAACTCTATGCGCAGACCTAATGGAGGCACTGCCTCCTTAATGTCATCGGCGTTCATGTATTTTAGCTGCTCGATGTTTCCTTTTGCAGCTAAGTTGATGCGCATAAATAATTAAATTTATGTAAATATGTAAGTAAAGTAAAAATATAGGTTTAATTGATGATATAGACAAGGGAGTTAAAGTCTATGAACATACACATATTATTAGCTGGCGTCTCAACTAAGCTAAAAGAGACGGAATGGTAATACATAATGTTCATACATAGCGGTAAAACATTGTGTGTGTGTGTGTATATACATATGTGTGTGCGTGTGTACTTTTTGCGATTCAGAAACGCATTCCTGCACTATTTGCTTTATAAATTATAAAATATGTCTTAACTTTAAATATGTATATAAAATGTACATAAATACGTTTGTAATAAGCGGTAATAACATTTCCAGAATCTCAGAAATTCTGTAATGGGTTCTTTCACAAATAACTTTAAGCACGTGTTTCACGCGTAAAAAGAGCATACGTACAAACAAGTGTACATATATAATTTTGCCGATATTCGGCGACATTCGTTTTACAAAAAAAGATGAATACAAACACACCCGGACCTTTTTCAAGAAATAATGTAATTCCACGAAATTTGATAACTGTGCTGACCTGTACGCCACTAGTCGGCGTTTCTATTCCTATTTTTGATGTAAACGGAATGTCGCCGAATATCGGAAAAATTATATACAGTCAGCACAACATTTATTCGGACACTCTCTATGAGCAAGTTTAATGGTTTATTTATTTAAACTTTCGTAATTTTAGCAACTTTTTTTCTACGTACCATGGAAACAGTTATTTTCTTAATACATTTATATTAAATAATATTTTTTTTTTGTATTACACACGAAAATATGGAAAGGAAAGCGAAAAAACTGCTCAAAATGCTGCACAAAAATTATTCGGACATTTCTTATTTTTCGACTTATATTTCTGAATGCAACGGTAATCGCCGACTCCTTTTGGTACTTTTCTTGGAATTAGTTCAGATCAGGCTTCGGTGTGCTTTTTCTTCTGTTTTTCGGTTACTTTCGGCGCGTCTCTTGATAAGATTAGACAAAATGGGCAGAGGTCAAGATTTATCGCTTGATTTGCGAAAATCTATATTAAAATTACATTTGGAGAATAAAAATTATCGTGAAATCGGTAGAATTATTGGCAAATCACCTTCCACAATACATAGTGTGATCAAAAAATACCTAAATACTGGAGAATTAGCTGCAAATCACGGGAATTCTGGAAGGCCAAAGATTCTAACACCACGCGAGGAACGAAAAATTGTGTCTACAGTCTTGCAAAATCCAAGAACAACATCTACAATAATTCGGAAGAATGTAGAGGAAGCTACGCAAAAAAAAGTTTGCGCTCAAACCATCCGAAACTGCCTGCACAAGGCCGGATTACATGGTAGAGTTGCTCGTCGAAAACCATATATTTCTGCCATCAACAAAAAAAAACGTTTGGAGTTCGCAAAACTGCATGTTAACCAGCCGGATTCGTTTTGGGAGAACGTTATTTTTAGTGACGAATCGAAATTTAACATTTTCGGACACGACGGCCCTTCGAAAGTATGGAGGAAACCAAATGAAGCCTTGAAAGAGAAGAACTTGATTCCAACTATTAAGCATGGTGGCGGCAATGTAATGGTTTGGGGGTGTGTAGCTGCAGGTGGAGTCGGTCAAATGGTCTTCATTGATGAAAAAATGAACAAAAATATGTACAAGGACATTTTAAGCCAAAATTTGATCCCCAGTGCATTAAAACTTGGTCTCAATCCGAAGTCATTTTTGTTCCAGCAAGACAATGACCCGAAACATTCGTCATATTTGGTGCAAGAGTGGCTGGTATATCACTGTAAACAGCTAAAAACACCACCCCAGTCACCGGATTTAAATCCGATAGAACATGTGTGGGATATTCTGGAGAAAAGAATAAGGAAGCATGTCATTTCGTCGAAGGAGTCCTTAAAAACGGCATTGATGACTGAATGGGACCAAATTGGCGCGAATGAGACCGAAAACTTGGTCAAAAGCATGGGTCGACGCTTACAAGCTGTTATAGATGCTAAGGGAGGACCCACCAAGTACTAAGACCACCCCAAAAAAAACTAATATGATTTTTTTTGGTATATCAATGAAGTGTTCGAATAATTTTTGTGCGTAAAATATTGACTTTTTTTGAAGAAATACCTTATGTTAATGTTAAAAATTTCTTCTTTTTTTGTTAAAATAGACTGTAAGAAAGTTGGTCTCCACAATGAAATATAAAATGTTTGTTTACGATACGTTTTTGTTGAGTTATTAATGAATCAAGTTGAAAATCAGGGGTGTCCGAATAAATGTTGTGCTGACTGTATGTATATGTACACTTGTTTGTACGTATGCTCTTTTTACGCGTGAAACACGTGCTTACAGTTATTTGTGAAAGAGCCCATTACAGAATTTCTGAGATTTTGGAAATGTTATTACCGCTTATTACAAACGTATTTATGTACATTTTATATATGTACATATTTAAAGTTAAGACATATTTTATAATTTATAAGGAAAATGGGGCAGGAATGCGTTTCTGAATCGCAAAAAGTACACACGCACACACATGTGTATATACACACACACAATGTTTACCGCTATATATTAATATTACAATTGCACCAAAAAACGCGTGCTTTTCTTACCTGTTAGAAATGTATGCACTTCCACAATTTTCATTTTTTTTTTAAGTTTATATAGAGGATCCTCTCCACATTCTTCTTCAGCCATTTTGATCATTTTTGGTTTCACTTATGTATGTTGTATGTTCACTTCATTTTTATTCACAGTGCCGCGAAAACGCTTGGGTCAATTGAGACGCTTATGAGACAAGTGTGACCGTTTCACGATTTTAGAAAGAACGGCGAGAACGTCAAGAAATCCAAAAGCTACGGTCAGCCGATTAAAATTTAACATTCATTAAAATGAAAAAAAATCTTTTTAAATTGGCATTTCAAAATGCTAGCCATAAATGTATGTAACTTTTTTTAAATCAAATAATTTGATAGTCTAATCGTACCCTTTATCGAAGAAGAAGATTTTTACACCCTTTGAGAAAAATTAATATTTTTTTACCTTATTAAATTAATTGCAAGTATATAAGGATGTTTCCAGTTATTACCTGTCCCAAATTTTTTAACCAGAACTTAATTTTTTTTTTCAAATAAACGTGCCAAGCAATGTTTATGCTATTATTAAGTTCTATTCGGTCTTGAACTAAATATTATAAGTCTTAATTTGAATACTTCTGTACTTCATTTAAGAATTTTTTCTGCTTGATCTTATATGAATCCAAATTGTACTCAATTTAAGAATTTTTCAGTACGAACGTTCTCAAAAAGTTCAGCATTAAACCGTTCTTAAGTCAAGGCTGTTTGTACTTCTTTTTAGCGCGGCGTTTTTCCCTGAGTGTGAATAAGCGATATTGGAAAAGAGCGGAACATAATAACTTCAAAGTCCGATTTCAATCGGAATTTTAATGATATGTTTCGCTCACCCCTTGAAAGCCGTTTCCCGAATTCTTAAGAATGTTAACTCTACCCTGCAATGTTTAGAAATATATATTAAATATATCTCTAGTTCCTATTGAGTATGTTTCAAATCTACTGTCATATGACATTAATAGTTAAGATATACTTTTATACTTTCTGCCAGGGACCGTTAGTAATAATTATTAATTTTTTTTAGATACAAGCAGAGCAGTTTAAAAAAAAAACAAGGAAGAACGCTATAGTCGAGTACCTCGACTATCAGATACCCGTTACTCAGCTAAATGGAGATATGCAAGCAGCAAAGCGAGATTAAAATGCGCCACCTACCGGCGGTATACAGATTTAAGCGTTATGGGCGTTAGAGTGGGCGTGGCCAATTTTTTTTTGGATCAATCGATAGGTATCGACGAGACCAATACATTTCAGTTACAATTTTTTATCTAGCATGAAAATTGTGGGCGTCACAGGTTTTTGCGGTTTGTGGGCGTTAAAGTGGGCGTGGCAAACTTTTTTTTGAGTCAATCGATAGGTAATGACGAGACGAATACATTTCAGTTAAAATTTTTTATCTAGCATAAAAATTGTGGGCGTCACAGGTTTTCGCGGTTTGTGGGCGATAAAGTGGGCGTGGCAAACTTTTTTTCAGGTCAATCGACAGGTATTGATGAGAACATTACATTTCAGTTAAAATTTTCTAGCATTATTCTAGCATCAAAACTGTAGGAGCCACAGTTTTGGGCGGTTTGTGGGCGTTAGAGTGGGCGTGGCAGTCTACTGAAACAAACTTGCGCTGCGTAAGAAGCTCAGGAATCTGCACGCCAAATCTCAATAGCCTAGCTCTCATAGTTTCCGAGATCTCAGCGTTCATCCGGACAGACGGACAGACGGACAGACGGACATGGCTAGATCGACTCGGCTAGTGATCCTGATCAAGAATATATATACTTTATGGGGTCGGAAACGCTTCCTTCTGCCTGTTACATACTTTCCGACGAATCTAGTATACCCTTTTACTCTACGAGTAACGGGTATAACAACTTATACCAGGACATTTCTTAGGCATCATATTTTCAATATCTGGTATAATATTTTTTTTTTCAATTTTTATTTAAAGCTTGAAGGATAATCGTTACTTAATCTCAAAAAATCAATCAATATTTCTCAAGGAATAAGTTTTATTTTTTAATCAGAAAGTAAAAATCAACAAGGAAGAACGCTATAGTCGGGTACCTCGACTATCAGATACCCGTTACTCAGCTAAACTAAAATAAATAACCATTATTTTTCGATTAATAAACAAACCTAAAAAAATAAACATTATAAAATAATTTTTGTGACAAAACTTATAATCATTACAGTCCCTGCTTTCTTCCATAGACAGAAAAGCTTTTGTAAGATTGCTTTGGTACTAAGAGACGGACATGCTGTGCAAGAATTATCTGACAGAATATTCTGTAGTTATTTTTATTTTTTAAATATCAGAGTATTCGTTCCGATTTATGTAGTTTTATACACATTAGGTTTTATTTTCGAACCCGGGGTCAAAATTTCATTTTATAAATTACGACAATCAAAATTTTAATTTTTTAAATTGAGGTTCGTGGGGGCTGAATCTCGGGTTTTAACCATGTGCTCGCGGTTTTCCGGCTGCCTCCTAACCCGTTTGTCCGCTCCCCAGACATGTGGAACCATGGGCATGGTGTTCAAGTGGCAGCTGCGTAACTACTGCGATCCACCTCTCATGGATTGCGAGGCTTACAAGGCTTTTAAGGAGCAAAAAGCCCTTGCAATGAAAAAGAAGAGGTCGGCGGACCAGAAGGCGGCGGCCAAGAAGGACGCGGACCGCCTTAAAAGCCAGTTGAAAAAGTGCATCGAGCTCAAGACGAAGGCGCTGAAGGCGAAAGTGGAGTGCATGACGGAGGAAGAGCAGAAGGCCATGGGGGAGATGATGGACTGCGTGATGGCGGGTGTCAAGAGAGTCTGCCTGAAGTCAGTTATGCAGAAATACTGCAAGGAGCAGGAGCTGAAGCTCCGCTACGAGCGACTGATAAGGGAGAAGAAGATCAAGGAGCTGATGAAGCAGTGCTCTGCCACCCAAGAGGAAGGCTCTGCGAAACACGGCAAGGATTCCAAGGAGAAGCAGCCCGTTAAGGCGGAGGAGAAGAAAGAAATAAACAAAAAGTCAGAATCGCTTGAGAAATGTATAGAAGAAACCACCAAACTCTTAGAAGACGAGTTGGAGAAGCCAAATCAAAAGCAGAAGGAAAAATCGGGGGCCACAAATCAAGGGAACGAAAAGGATAGATCTAAAGATAAGTCCAAGGAAAAAGATCATAAACCCACAAAGAAAGCCACAGATGACGCTAAAAATAAGCTCAGTGTAAAAGTTATAAAAAAATCATCCAAAATGAAAGACCATTCCAAAGCAAAACTTAAGAATCAGAAGAATCCCAAATTAGATAGTTGTAAGGAAGAGGACAAAAAAGCAACCAAAAAGAAAGATAGTTCCAAAGTTAAAGTTCAGGAACAGAAGGATCCCGTAATAGATAACTGTAAGGAAGAGCGTCCTCAAAAGATCGAATCTGCAAGTAATGATTTCAAACAAGAAGAGAAGAAAAAAATTAAGGACAACAAGACAGAAAAGAAGACGGAAAAACCGAAAGAGCAGGTTTCCGCGGTTGAAAACAAAGAATCTAAAAAAGGAGAGGACAAAACCAAGAAAGCAAAAAATGACAAAAGTAAGGAAGAGAAACCAGAACAACATAAAAGTCAGAAAAGCAAAGGTGATACCAAAGTTTCCGAGCCAAATAATAAACACTCCAAAAAAGAAGATACGAAAGCTAATAGTGAAGAACCACAAGGGCCTAAAAATAAGCAATCCAAAAATGCTGATTCAAACGCTAGAAGTGAGAAAGGGGAGAAGAAAGAAGCACCTCAAGAGCAGGAGGTATGCCCAGAGGAGCCCAAAAAGAAAACTGAATGTCTTAAGGAAGAAAAGAAACCCGGGACTAAATCTCCGTTTGAGCAAAAGATGGAACAATGTATGAAGGATGAATTGGAAGATGTGCGCCAGGCCCAGAAGCACTTAAGCCCCGAGGACAAGAAAAATGTGGCGGCCTCAGAAGACTGTCTTAAGGCGCAAGTCAAGAAGAGGTGCCGCATGATCGTTATCAAGCAAATGTGCGCAGAATCCTGGGGAGAGCCAAAGAAAGCAAGTAAGTGTGAAGAACAGAAAGAAGGAGAAGAAGAGTGCACGAAGTCAAATGACTCTGTGAACGACAAGACCCAAAAGTGTGTGCAGAAGAAATGGAAGGACATTTGCCCATTTATTCAAGATCTTACTGAAAAAAACGACGTCGATTTTAGCAAAGCTTCTGAGGAAGTAAAGGAAATGATGGTGAAGTCTTGCCAAGAGGAAGAAAAAAGTAAGGAGTCCGAAATTAAGGAACTGGAAGCGGATATCGAGAAATGTGCCTTCCTAAAAAAATGTGCAGATGCAAAGCTCAAAAGAAAATGCGATGAAATAGAGAAGAAGAAAAAGTGCAAAGAGGAGGCTCAAAAATTAAAATGTGAAAAGCAAGCTTTAAATAAATTATGCAAAGAACTAGACAAAACAAAGGACCATATAAAGAAAAAGGATGTAACGCTAAAGTCCGAGTGCAAGGACTCAAAAAAAGAGTGTGATGACGAAGTTAAGAGGAAGTGCATTGAAAAAGCTCAAAAGAAATTATGCGAGGTGAGGAGAAAACGGGCAGAGCAAATGCAAAGTGAAGGGGATGGTCAAAATAACGAATGCAAAGAGTTGGCACTAAAGAAAAAATGCGAAGAGGAAAAGGTAAAGAGGAAATGCGAGGAGAATGAGATAAAGACGAAATGTGAAGAAGAGCTTACAGAGAAAAAGTGCGAGGAAGAGGCTAAAAAGAAAAAATGCGATTGTCTAATTAGGGAAATCGAAAAGCTGAAGAATGAAGAGCAACAACTAATGCTTAAGTTAAAAGAGCTGGAGAAAAAAGAGGAAGACAGGAAGAAACAAGAGGAGGAAGAGCAAAAGAAAAAATGTGAAGAGGATAAAGTCTTGAAAGAATGTGAACAATTTGAAAAAAAGGAAAAAGATAAAAACCAAAAAGAAAAGGAGAAGAAAAAGACAACCACGCCAAAGAGTGATTCAAAAAAATAAAATTAGAATCTTCGTAAGGAAGAGATTCAAAAGAATATAATTCCCATTTAAGGCAATTTGGCCTTTTTGGCAGTTTACGAAGGCTGCGGTTTCAGGAAGACCAGAGAATCAAGAACGGGCAAGATGACACACAGGCTTAGAGGACGACGGCGTTCGCAAGGCCGGTAGTCCTCTAGTTGATTCCGCTTCCAGGTTTGAGGAGCAGGTGAAAGGTGACCCAAGTCATCGACTTCAGCAACTGGGCGATCGTTCTTGCGACCGCCACCGTGATCTTGGCCAACTTAGACGACAACAATGGAACGCATGCGGTGTCGTTAAAGGCCTGTGGTATAGAAGGTCTTCGTGAGACCGTCCAGGCCATCATCATCATTGCCCGTCTGGCCCTCGGTTATCGGTTAATTCCATGCTGTCATGAGTAACCTCCACTTTGCTGAGTTGTATTATAAAATCTTTCCGACTGCCCCCACGTAAACTCGGCCTTTGTTCTTTTAAGCGGCCATTAAAAACGTTGCTTAGCATCCGCAGCATTCGGGATCCGTTTGCTTCACAGGGGAATTATTTCGTCGATGAAAATTCTGCTGGTCTGTCCTTGGTCTAGTTTTTTCAAAAGCAACGACTCACCCAAACCTTACAGCCTGCGACCGTCGCTTACCAGTTCAATTCTCCGATGACATGAGACATTCTCACCAGTGACCTTAGCGATCTGAGTTTATCGTGTTATTTCCAAAGAGGTTTTCTGGACGGTCTGCATCGTCAACGGTAATTTATTTCTTATCAGCCGGAATATGGGGGAAGGCAAAGGACTTTCCAACTCATGTTTAAGGGACAACGAAGGGTACTTCGACTGCCAGGAGCTCTGCTCGTGGCATTAACATTTGTATTTTAGCATTACAACTGTAGGACCCACAGTTTTGCGAGGCTTGTGGGCGTTAGAGTTTGCGTGGCACCCTTACGAAACAAACTTCACCATTTATAGGTTCCAAGATCACAGCGTTAATACGGACAGACGGACAGACGGAAATAACTAGATCAGCTGGGCTAGTGATCCTAATCAAGAATATATATACTTTATGGGGCCGGAAACGCTTCTTCGACCAGGGGTTACAGTAACGAGAAACAAAGTAGCTCACACAATGGGAAAAACTTGGATTTTAAGATTACAGTATTTTCGGGAATGCCTATTTGTGCAAGTTTTTAACCGTTTGTTGCCCCACCTGGAACCTAGCCATGAGCATCAAATAACTTCTCCTAAACCTTAAACCGACGATAAATTAGTTACAAAATTTGGAAGAGGCAAAGGTTATCAAAGCTGCATCATACGAGTATTTCTTCAACAAGCTTAACTTAGTAAATTAAATTCAAACATACCTTAAGAAATGGGTTTCTGAGAGCCTACTAATTTGAAATTGATGCCCGTTTTCTAATATTGCTCCATGAATAAATATATGGATTGCACACATATGCCGTGTATTTACTTACGGGTATCTCTGCACCAGAATGGCTAAAGCAAACAAAATGGACAGCTCACAATATTGATTGCTGTGCTGTTTTATTGATGAAATAATGAATTTGCCACCGCACAGACCCACAGACATCTGATAATATGGCCAATGTCTGTCGTTGCCTTGGATATGAATTTTCCGACATGATAGCGAAACTTATCGGGCATCGGAGCAAACCAGCTCGAGGTGATGGCCTTGTGTTTGATCAGAAAACGGGCAGGACGTCGCTTATTTGGTTTTCATTTCGTATTGATTCACTGTTAGTCCTGGCATTTCTGGCTTGGCCAAAGCAAATTTGCAGACGCCTGTGACCCATCACCAACAGCCATCCGTTTAAATTATTAACGTATGAGTAATTTTTATGACATATAAACAACAGTCTGGGCTGGGGCCCGGCTCCCAGGATCCTTGTTGTCTCTTCTCCGGCTGCTGCTGTGTGTCATGTGTCGTCTCTCCTCGTTTCGGGCTATCCATTTCCCAGACGACCCAGTCCCAGTCCCATGTGGCGCTTCTGGGGAGTGGTTTTTGTGTGCGACAAATGAGTTGTGTGTAATTAAGTTCGGGATGCCCCCAAAGCAGACTCCTAGTTGCCCCGGGAATTCTGGCCGAAAATGGAACTGATAATCTGACTCCCAAGTGCACCGGCTCAAACAATTTTTACCTCCGAGCATTCCTCATTATTCAAACTTTAATTAACACTCTGTGTTTTTTGTTCTCTCTTTAGGTAAGTGCCTTCCTGCTTTTGCGTAAGTCCAAGAACCAAACTCAATCACTAATCACGGTAAAGAGCCGCCCAGCCGCAAAACTTTCGGTCAAAGCCCGGCCTTTAATTTGAAAACTTTGGCATATCCAAAAATAAAATATATGTAGTATATACGTGCGGGAAGAGTCCACAGAGAACCAGGGACCAAACAATTCGAACACTGCATTCCACGCAATGGACGGGCCAAAAATCAAAGCATATTTCCCGGCGTGCCCGACGCAACCGCTAGACCTAGACTCCGTCCGGCAAACCCGTTCCCGTCCGGCCGGCCACATAGTTTAAACAAACTTTTTTGTTTGAAAGCGTAGAACGTGCGGAGCGAAAGGAAAAAATAATCATAAAAAGGCAGAATCCACTATTACATTAAAACAGAAAAATAATTGCGAAAATTTCTCTCCAACTTTTTCAACTTTCTCTGCGTTTTCCCGCACTTTTTTTGCCGCGCCTCTTGTTGTTTTTTTGGTGTCTGAATGGCAGGCAAATTTCTGTTGCCATTTGCCACGCCTCAATGGCGAACTTTAAAACGCGCTGACGACGCTCATTACAACTAATAATGTTAATAATCATTAAAGGAAGGAATTTCAAAATATTTCGGGATTGCCGGCCGCAGGGGAGGTGGGCCCCAAGACTTCTCTTTTCTGGCACTCAAATTGCAAAAATTAAAATACTTTTCCAAACTAATTAAAATTGTGTTGCATACTTTGGGGCCCAGCAGCCAGTCGTCCCTCTTTAAGTTTCCTAAGCCTTTTCCCCCGATACAAGGAAATTAGCCGGCCACCAAGACGTCGATGTCGATGTTCGACTCGAGAATCGATTATTGTGGCTGGTTTAATGGTCCCGCCCGGGCTGAAAACTTTTGCCATTTTTCTTTCTGTTTCCCTTGGGGATGATCGGGCAGCTCAATTGCAGCTTTCCGGGTCTTCAAATATCAACATGGCCGGCTCTTAAAGATGCAGAAATTAAATTCCGCTCCTGAAACCCAATTATCCTTCGGCTGACAACGGGTTTTCGCATCACTGGGCTGGCGCAAAAGTTACAGCATTTTCCCAGCAAGAGATGTCTCCTGCGGATTATGTGGGATATGGGATATTCGTAGGCCCGCCATGCTGTCACACTCGCAGGATGCATTAAATTTTATGGACGGAGGGCTCGAGGAAAGGGGCTGCCTAGGCTGGGAGCAAACATCAAACGCGTTAAGCAACTCGAAAGCTCAGCCGAGTGCATGAAATGCGTCGCCTGCCCCTCACTAGAACGCCATTCAACACGCCACGACTTTTGCAGCCAAAGCAAATCAAAAGGAAATAATGGCGCTCTGGCGAGAATCGAGGGGTATCGGGAATCGGAGTAGATGACAGCTACACTGCGGGAAAATGTTGCCCAGCGCAGCCATCGATTAAATGCTTCCCCTTGTGTTTTGTCGGGCAAATGCAATCTTTTAATATCTGTGGTTCTCAAAAAAAAGTGGGTTTGAAATCTTCAAAATTATTCAGGACAAAAGAAAGATAGCCTCGGCAAGGTGAAGTTTGTGTACCCATGAAGCCCAAAACATATCAGGCAATGAAAATCATACGTATAACGTGTGTACTAGCTATATTGAATCAAAATAGAACACCTTATCCCGAGGTAAGGGGTCGTGACGATCGCACTAACAACATACAAAAGTTCTCGAATTACAAGAGAGACTAAAAATAACAAAGTTTTAATTTAACTTTCCCGAGTAGAAGAGAATATGATCAAGAACATCCGAGCTCGGTTTTTGTTATATTATTTCTTCGATTTTATGAGAGCTTTGGAATATAGTCGTTCGATCCGTTCGGTTCTGACACATGAACTATCGTAGGAGAAAGTAGACCTTAGGGAAAGTTTTCAACGAGAGCTTGATAACTGAGAAAACAACTCAGCTGTTGATGCTGATCAAGAATATATACCAGGGCTCCCATAAAAAAAAGGACAGATGTGGAAAAAAGGGCGTATTTCTGAGTGAACCCATAAAATTAAAAGGTATTGTTGACTACTCTTAAACATTTAAAGCCAAGATTTATGGAGCACTCTCTTATGCTCAAGTCAGTGGTCGTCAGCAGAGTCAGAGCATACAATTACCTATTGGAGTTGTGGTTGCGGTTTCGATTTGCTCAGCAAACCATGTGGATATGTGTGCTCTTCTATAGTGCTTCTGTTGGCAGAATGCTGGCGAAGCGGCGGCAGAGAAAATGATAATTTCTAGAATTATACCCGATACTCGTAGAATAAGTTTAAAAAAGTAATGCTATAAAGAGTGCGTCGAAAATGTGGTTGAAGACAGAACAGAAGATCTTGTAAGACACCTAAATATTAATATACAAAATGTAAATGTCTTGAAGAGCTACAGGTTCGAAATAATATTGAATTGTGAGCCTGGGCGATTGCCGCGGCATTTTCTCTCAGTGCTGCACCCCCACATCCGCCCAAACACTCGCTGGGTAAATGGCGCGCACGAAGTGCTCACATGCACCTGCCAGAAAGCATTCGCTGCGTACTCCCTGGCGGCTGGGATGGGCGGGGAGGAGCCTCTGCTCCTGGATGGATCCTGCTGCCTGAATGCTGATGCCGATGCCGGCAATTAATTAGGATTATGTGTGTCGTCTGAGCAGCGCCTAAAAGCATGCAACACATGTGAGGTGCTCGTTACGGCACCCGCCTTCTCAGATCCCGTCCCCATCCCAGCCCATCCACATACCAGGGTCCTGAGTACGGAGATTGCACCGTAACCGTAATGGAGCTGCAGCAGCTTGACTTCCGATGCGTGACATCTACATCCACCGGCTGGCTAAATAGTTTGATTAAGCAAATTTATGGCTGCGCGCTCTCAGGCGCATTTAATGGCGGCTGAAAGGAGCAAACAGAACCCAATCAATCATCGGAATCGCAGCTTGCACATTTTTAATGATGATGACGTCAACTGCTCATTAAAAGCCTTCCACTTGGCTGCCTCTCCCCCGCACCGCCCACCTCTTCAGCACTTCCCAGTGTCTCTGACCGCTTCTTTTGACCATCCTAACGACTTTTTAAGTATTTACACACAATTTGGCTCGGCCAACTTTTATCGCAAGTCTGGGCAAACATTTCTATATTTCCCAGCTCACTTTTCTCTTAAGTTTACGCTTCATTATCCTGCAGTTGTCTGTGGCGAAGTGCAAGTGGCAGGACATCAGCTTGAGGTCTGAGCACCCCTTCACATGTC